GCGGTGGCAGAGGAGCTGCTCGGGCAGGGGGAGTTCAGGCGGCGAAGGCTCCCACCGGAGCGGGCAAACGCGGGCGCTCCTCCCTCTCAGTTTGGACCTCTCTGAAACCACACAAAGCGTGAGGAAAAAACAACATTTGTTGTTCGAGAAAAGCCTCCCCTCGGTTTAACTGCTCTCGAAGGGCAGGGAAGCAAGAGGTGCTGCGCGCAGGCCGTGGGGCGGTGCTGGGTTCCACGCGCTGTGTTTGTGCTGGAGTTTGTGCAGCAGCCTTGGCGTGTCCGTCCACGCACCCCAGCGTGGTTCCCCCTGGAGAGACCTGTTGCATAATAACGTGGGTTTGTTTTTTTTTTTCCGGTTTAGCCTATAGTGCCTCCAAACTGCCAGGAGATCGTATGGTTTTGGAAGCAGCTCATGCTAAACTGGAAAAAAAACATTATTGCAGAATAAGCATGCAGAGGAGGATGTAGCAGTAAGTCCTGCCAGGAACCAATGTAATTTCCTATAGCAGGAAATGCTATGAGCATTTTATGCCTATATATTTAAAAATTAAACTCTTCCCTGAATATTTTAGGAAACACAGCCTTAATATTTTCCTACCCCGTTCCTGTTTGTTTTTTTTTTTAAATGAGGTTCATATGTCCCCGTCTCTGCACGAAGGTGTTGAGGGTGGATTTGGTGGCATTAGTGGGCCAGGATGAGCATCCAGGAACACCTCACCTGCTGCAAAGGGAATGTGAGCTGTGCCACGCAGGGTGCCTTTGGCCCTTGCCTTTCCCTTGTCCTGTGCATTGGAGATCTCACTAATCTTGAAATACAAAAAGAAAAAAATCAGAAATATGTATAGTTAAGGATGTAAAAGACGCGGTTCCTTTTGCCTTCCGCCTCCTGTGTGATCGAGGAGGAGAGTGAAGACGGTGGTGGTTTTTCGACGTTCACACGGTGCTGCTGCAGTGAAATGAGTCATCGTTCCTCTCTGCCACCACGCAGCAGCTAGCGTGCGTTTTTGGCAAGAACGAGCAAAAAGTTTGCAGGGCACAGTCCTTTCTAATCAACTGCTGTTAATTCCTTTTGTGTTCAGAAAAACAAGTGAACCAGCCTCTCTCTAAAAGGCTATTAAAACTGCTAATGATGGACGCAACTTGATGAGAGCGTATGCAAGCCAGAATATAATTTTTGATGAAGTCAGCTTCCCTCCCCCACCCTGCACTAAGCAAAAATTTACTCTTCCCCTCCATCAAGATAAGCAAAATGCTGGCGTTTTGTATGCCTTGAACATTTTGCAGTCGTTCATGGTTAGGGTAATGGCTGACAAATTTCATAAAGAAATGGGATATTTTTTACAGTAATTATGAAGATGATGTCTTATTGCTTTAAGTTCTCTAATTAGGTAAAACATCAAAGAGAGTCTTTTCTTGTTGTGCTGGATCATTTCTTGTTGAGATAAATACAGTATGGGATGGAACCATAACATCAGCGTGCCGTGCGTCTTACAGAGAAGGTTTGGTAAACTATACAATTTTTAAAAGTAAAAAAAAAAAAGTGAGGTGAAGCAGAAAGAAGACCATTGACTAAACTGTAAAGAATACATTTAATAAATCTGTCTGAAGGCCAAAGAGGGAAAGAAAAGGTTCTCCAAAGCCAGCTTATAATGTCTTTTTCATTGTTCTCTTGTCCTCCCACTCTCAGAAACAGTAAGCTCTCTGTGAAAGAGGGCGGTGGTGCTCCCGTTTCTGAAGGAGGACTCCTTCCTTCTGGAGCATCTTTCTTTTGTAAGATTTGCCTACGATAGCTTTCAGATAAGCTAATCCTTCCACCTTGTTAAGTTTTCAACACTGGATAATTTCTTAAGAAGATACTAATTGCCAAGGCAGGCAACTAGATAGCCTACTGTAAAGATATTTTTCTGCCTATCTTGTAATGTAATAGCTTTCAAGATTGAAATGATGTTTTTCAGCACCATTGGGGCTATTCATTACCCAGCAGCTCTTGGTATAAGAATCCTGCAGATTGGTTTGCGAAGTTTAGGATAATGTCTATTTTGGATACAGCATGGTGTATAAATACTGTTTGTGTTAAAAGAATTAGGATGAAGTAATACAGTTACAGATGTGTGATAATTACATTGCATTTGTTTTGGGTGAGTATTTGCAGTTGCATGGTAGTGCACAGAACGGTCAGTGAAACCAGCATTTTAGAGACAGGTATATTATTGCTATCTTCAGTATGTTTTTTAATTTACTTCTAAATATTTATACAGATTTTATACAGATAAACGGGCTATTTATGTTTCCAAAATAAAACATACTTGTAATTTAACTGTCCTCTTGCCTGAAAGTCATTTTAGAATCGACACCTGAAACTGAGAAATGGACAGAAAGTGGCCATTTTTAAATACTATTTTGAACCTGAAATCCTCTGCAGGGTCATGTTATTTGCCTCCTTAATAACTACCTTTGCTGGGTCTGTGCGTGTGCTGGGGGTGTGTGGGTGTGTGTTTGGTGTACACACAGGAGAGGCTGACAGCAGTGAAATTGTCTAAAATACTAGCAAGAGTCTGCATAAATACAGAGTTTCCGATTACTTTTAACTCGCTTGCTTTATGTGTGCAGTTATATTGTTCAGCTTTGTACTGCTTGAGACGCTGTATTCAGCATCCTACAAGAAAGGAAGTTATCTGGCATCCCGGTGTACAGGAGGAAGATGTTTAGAATTGAGTTAAGGAAATAGTGCTGTAGTGCAAATCTGAGCTGACAGAGTTTTTGTTATTTTCTTCCAAGAAAAGTTGTTCTTTAGCCTCTCAAAAATAAATTACGGGCTTTTGACCCTTTCTCTAGAATGATGATTTTGCTGTAACAGCATGAAAATTATTTCTCGCAAGTTTACAAATACAAAAGTTGCTTCCCCATGGAAGGCTGTAGTCTGGGAATATCGAATGCGTTTCTGTGATTCTCTGATTTTTCTCAGTATCTTAGTTTCGCTGTTTGATTTCTACTCAATGTTCTGTATGTGCTTATTAGCAGAGAGTGAGGAAGAGGATGACAATGAAATGGAAGTTGAAGATCAAGGTAGTAAAGATGCGGAAAAGCCAAACATCATAAATTTTGATACCAGTTTGCCAACATCACATGTGGTATGTTCTTTTCCTATTGTCCATTATATGCATCTTGAAGAGGTTTTGATCGGTTTTGTGTAATTCTATTGCAGTATCCTGGATCTAATTTTATTTTATCCTTGTAAATCCCCCAAACTTCTCACGCTCCGTCTGTCATGTCCTTATTGTTTTCAGTATTTAGGTTCTGATATGGAAGAGTTTCATGGAAGGACGGTGCATGATGATGACAGCTGTCAGGTGATTCCAGTGTTGCCCCACGTGATGGTGATGTTGATTCCTGGACAGACGTTACCTCTTCAGCTTTTTCACCCCCAAGAGGTTAGCATGGTGCGGAATTTAATTCAGAAAGACAGAACATTTGCTGTTCTTGCATACAGGTAAAATACACGAGCGGGTTTACTGATGGTACGCAGCATGTCTTTTTAGCATAATTTCTTTGGATACTGAATCAAAAGCACATGGTTGCATCAGTTCTGTGGTGAATAACAGAAGTTGTGGTTTGAAATTGTTTGACAAAAATTGTCTTCCAGTACGTAACGAAAAGGTTTTTCATGTCATACGGGGCAGCTGCATGACAGTATCACATGTTTGTATAAAGAAACAGAAAGTGTCGATCTGCTTTCCTTGTCTGAGCGTCCTCCTGACTTCAGTAACTGTTTGAATGCACTGCTCCATCGTGCTTATTCTTAAGCCTTGATCTGAAATGTAAAAATCAGATTCTAGTTTTGAGAACTGTATTGTTGTAAAGGTGTATTTGCTGCTTTTGTGTATAAATTGTCAAGCACAGACAAATGTTTCACAATAGAACTGAGAGACAGGAGGTGATAGAAAAGCGGAAAAAAGATAAACGGCTAATGTGTGCCAAAGGAATTTGGGAATGCTCCTCCCTCTTCCACCAATTTACTGCAGTTTAATTGTGTAGGAGGTGGAAACAGATGTTTTTAGAGAATCAGTCTAAAAGATTTTGGTACTTTCAGTATCTGCATTTCAAATGCAGACATATTGGTGATCCCTGTGTTCCCAGAATTTCACCTCTAGACCTTAAAATAAAACCGAATCAACTGGCAAAAACCCTCAACCAAACAAAACACTAGAAGTTGCTTTTAAAATGGAAAAGTAACGATTGCAGTTAGTTGAAGGTATTTTACCTAATTTCTTTTTTTGATAGGACTATTCAGGTACAGTCAGTGCAGGTAGACTAACTCATGAAATCTGAATGAACAGTGCTGTTTGGAGGGTAGGTAACCTTTTTAATTCTGTTACTTTTAGTAACGCACGTGAAAGGGAAGCACATTTTGGAACAACAGCAGAAATATACGCCTACAGAGAAGAGCAGGAATATGGAATCGAAACGGTCAAAGTGAAAGCAATAGGAAGACAGAGGTTCAAGGTGCTTGAAATAAGAACCCAGTCAGATGGGTAAGAAAATTACGCATTTAATTCTACATACTGCAAATGTTGTTTCACCAAAACATTTGCATTTTACTGTAGGTGCATCTGCGCTTTCAGTCACACAATTGACTGATTAGTATAGGTACTAATTGAATGCTTAATCAGTAGCTTCTCTGGTTATTGAGGACTTCTGACATTTTCTGTTCTAAGACTCATGTTTTTGTTGTTAATAACTTCGCTGTAGAATTCTCTGAAGAATATCTACCTGTAGCTTGATTGGATGTGCGTGGGAAAACATCTGTCAAAATGGCTTTGTTTCTGAAAATTAAGTCAAGAAAAAGATGTTGATTTGCCTGCGTTATAAGTTCTAAAGCTTTATTTTAAATTCTCTCACATCCCTGTTTCAAACCAGATGTGAAAGGAGAGGATACAGTATCAAGTGTGCGCCTTCTGTTGTCTTGTGGAAAGCCTCCCTGGTAGCAACCAGATTCCATTCCTTTGAAAAAATCTAACTTTCATTTTCTGAAGGGAGACCTTTCTAGAGACGGTCTGCATTGGACCAGTTCCACTTCATAACTTTAGGTGCAATTGCAGCTCTGAACTGCTGCAGGCAAGGGTCTGACACTACAGCTAATCACAATATGCTCATCCTTTTTTGTACTTTTGAGTGATCTTTAATGACTGAGCCTCAACAGCATGCAGAAGGATTCAGCTGCATGGTTCAGATATGGAGAGGACAGCAGCTGTGCCCAGAGGGGTGCTGGTTGTCATGAGAAGCTGCCTGTGAAAGGAGAGGACTGGAGTCTGGTAATAACGGAGAAACAAGTCGCTTCTCTTGTTCATTTTTCCCTTTGTAAAACATAAAAGCACACTGAGATTTCTGGATAAATACTTGAATACAAAGATAGGTTCTTAATTTTTGCTAACTACAAGCAGCCCATCGTTTTCAGTTTCTCAAATACTAAATCTTGTTTATTTTAACCATTGTCACAGTTTAGTACATCCTTACCTTCAGCCAGTCTTACCTCTTCCTTTCTAACTGTTCACTGATAATTCACTGTCAGAAAAGTGCTACTTCTGTTACTGGTTGACAAGTCTTTTCGTGTGCTTGTCAAACATGCTCAAGTGTGCTTTGATAGGAGTATTCTATATTCTAGTCCTGTTCTCTTCCATATTCCAATCTGATGCCTGTGATATTTAGAGGCTCCTGACAGTTTTATCATATTGTGTAATTAATACCTTTGCCCTTTTATAAAAGTGGCTGAGGCCCTTAACGTTTAGTTAAGAATATTCTGAGTCTTCTGTCATTTTCAAGTTCTCCTTGACATCATGTGTTACATCATGAGCCTCTGACAGCGTCACTGTCCAGAGACAGAGACTCCAGACCTTGACTCTGTGAGCATGTGACAATTCTTAGCACGATTGCTAGAGGTTTTTGTAATCTTTTCTGCAAGGCATATAACATTTTACTCCAAATCTGTAAATCTAAAGGTAATCATCTGCGTTCTGCTTTTGTTCAGTATGGTGGAATTGCTTTAGAAGGAGGCCTAGGAACAGTCTGAGCTCAGCATTTTCTTATGCTTTTACAACCAGCAGTTGAAGAAATGAAGAATACGCGTGCTATTTGCTATTTATTGCTATCTAACATTTGGTTACAGATAACATATTCCAAATCTTACAGTTTAGAAAAACCACCACTTGAACACAAGATGGCAGTACTTGGACAGCTGTGGTATTGTGAGCAATGGTATTGTTACTGAGCATTCAGTATCCAGAAACAGCTGAAATGTACAGTGATCTTGTTGTACTGTTAAAACATGTTATTATGGTGGTTTTCTATCTGCTGACTAGATCACTTTTACACAGCATGTTCACAAGTTTCCTAAATACGAATTTTTAAATGTGTGAAATAAGGGAGGCGAGATTAATCTTCTCATCATGGCAAGCTCTAGGTTTGTTGGAATGACTTAAACTATATAGAGTTACTCTGCTTTCAAATAGTCACATGCTTGGGAATTCTTTAGGGATGCATATGGGATTCAAAATGCTTGAATTCAACTAGAATCGCTGCTCAGTCTCAGTATTCTGGCACTTTTCAGAGCACTTCCCAGTATTTCTTCAGAGTAAACCTACGCAGGTAACAACAGGCAAAATGACCAGAACCCTACATAAACAAACGGGGGTCTGTATATTATGAGCGCGGAAGCAAGATTGGAGTCAGTGTTTACCTTAATACCATCATAATGACTGATGATTTACCTGGATATGTCAGTTGTCGCAACAGAAACTTCCAGGCTCATGGATGAATGCTTCAAGTGTCAGTAATATAGTCAGTATTTGAGGGTACTTACCCATTTGTGAACCTCTTCCAAACCATCAGCAGTAAGAAATGCTGAAAACTTTCCTTTGGGGCAAACAAAAACCAGGCCTTTTTGATTCAGTGGTTGGGCTAATTAATTCTCATTAGTTCTGTCACTCGCAAGAGTAATCTGTTAGGTCTTTTAAACCTTATTATGTACGTTTACGTTTGCAGTTTTGTACAGTGGAGTTCCTAAGGCTTTCTGGATACTGGTACTGTTAGGGAATCTGGTTCTGGTGATGGGAACCCTAATGATCCAGCTGTGAGGGCTGCTGCCGTGAGGTTAGCTGGCAGGCTGCTGTCTGAGGGACAAGGTGAGCTGGCTTAGTACGTGCTAGCTTAGTGTCTGTCGCTGGCAAGAATTTTAAGTGTCTTGACACATGGATATCTGTAGTGAATATTAAGAGAGATGGCACATTTCAGAGGTTTCTAATTACTGAATGTTTTGTTCTACAGTGTTGTCCCTGTCAATGCAGTTGGAAATTTGTAATGACATGCATCTTAATATTTCAGGATTTCTGATGCATAATACTGTTAAAATCTAAAGTTCCCTGCTAGGCAGTATTCTTAGTAGCCACGTAACTGTTGTTGAACGCTTTGTGGGATAGGTGACCTGGTTGATGTTAGGATGTTAAAAGATGATCAGAGTCTCTATCCTATTTCTGCTGATTTTGAACTCCAGCTAAGCACCTAAGCTTTTGTGGTTTGAAGACAGCAAACTGCATTTCAGCTCAACTTCCTTTCTGAGGGCTTGATATGTAATAGATGGCTATTAGCTTATAGCAGAAGTAACTCGAGGAGACAAGAATCTAAAAATACAATGCTGAGATGGTAGAATATTCTGCTGTGTTACCACTGCCAATCTGGCTTTAATTCTGTCCACCACAATCCCAACGGATATCTAGTGCTCTGAAATACAAAGGCAGCCCATTGTATTCCGTGGAAAAGGAAGCTAACTGTGAGAGGGGAGGAAAAAAAACAGCAAAGAAACTTCTCCTGAAAAAGTTAAAGCAGTGATCTTCGTAGAGTTCTGTATACCAGTGAAAAAGTATTTGGGAAACAGTTAATTCTGGTTTTTAAAGGAAAAGGAAAAATAGGGATTGCTTCTGTCTTCAATTTAGGTAGATTGAAGTCCAGTCAGCACAGTGGCTTTAATAATTTAGCCAAGGTCGTGAGATAATCTGTGTTGTAGAATACTATGTGTTTGGTTTGCTGCAGATATGCTGTATGCTTCCTAAGGTAATTTGATTTACGTTAACACAACTTTAAAAATCTGATTAAATGGATTGGTGCTTAAATTCTATAGTACTATGTAGTGATTAGATCTGTTACACAAGCTTATGTTTTTATAAGCAGTAAAATCCATTTTTTTTGACTCTTGTATATGTGTGTATGTGTCATATCTTTTTTTTTTTTTTTTTTTTTTTTTTATTTTATTTTATCAGAATCCAGCAGGCTAAAGTACAAATCCTTCCTGAGCGAGTGCTGCCTTCAACAATGTCAGCAGTACAGCTGCAGTCTCTCAGCCGATGCCATATATTTCCTTCTTCGAAACCTAGAGCATGGCAGGACCGAGCTATACATCAGTGGTGGCAGAAATATCAGAAGGTTAGAAGCACAAGCTTGTGGTGGTGTTTTTCTTTAAAATTTCAATGGTATTTTGAAAATCAATATAAAATTCCATCTGCTCATCTTTAGAGGAGGATGCACGACTGGGATGCTAGATGCCAACCTCCTGCTTTTGTCGCGTATTGTGTGATTGTTTATCAGCCATCAAGAATGGGGAAATACATGTGTTATGACTTCTTGTTGGCTTTAATTACACTATTATTGTATTACATGAATTATTATGTAATCTAATTATTACTTTTTTTACATAATCAAAATGCCTCAGGGAGAGTGCTGGTTGGTAAAGCTTGTAGATGATGAAGTGCTGGTGGAAAAACCAGTAGGTTTATAGGATTTTATTTGTATGGATATCAAAGAAGCATCTTGATTTTTACTGACATTGCTTTGACAATACAAATTTTGGCAATCAGTGTTGACAGTGCCAGTGCTCTTGCTTTGTACTTGTCATAAGGGTTTGGTTGTGGCAATAAGGATGCTTTTGTAACCATTTCTCTGTGGCTGATTCAGGTAGAAGGGGTCTTCAAAGAACAGAGGTGGTTTAGAGGTGACTCCCAAATTTTAGCAATGAAACTGAAGACCTGTAATGTCTTAGTTTGTAATCACAATTCCATTTGCTAATTTTGCTTTAAAACTGCATCAGTTAATCCTTTAACTTCTATACCTGCAGTTACTTGTTTACAGAAAACGTGGATGTTCCTCAGAATAACAGACTCGGGTTTCTTTAACGCAGTCAAATATTCCCACACAGATGGTTGTTGGCTAACAACTAGGCTGTACTTCATAGTTTTGAGCATGCTTTTTGTTGCACTTTCGTCTTGCAAATTTTTATATAACACACATCTAAAGTTCTTGCTGACATGTGCTTAGTCATTATCTTTGTCAGATATCAGTATTTCTATGCGATCCGTTCTGGCCAATTGCATGTGTATTTCTAAGTCTGTTTTGATTTATTAGTATTTGTTCAACAGATTTACCTCCTGGGATAGTTAATATGTAATCCTTTTTTTCCCCCCTTTTATTAAATGAATTTAGAAATTTTCTTATATTTTGTTACGGTACTAAAAGTGACAAGATAGGAAAGGGCCATAGAAATATCTAGTTTTCTTCATGCATTCTGCATATAGTGACATAGTAGTTAATAGCAAAAGGCGGTGCTTTTTCACGTAGAGTGGGTGAATTAGCAGTTCTGTGGTCTTATCAATTTCATTTCCTAGAGCTTTTTTAATAAGTATGCAGACTTTACACTTTTTCAGGAGTAGAGGAGAGATAATCGTTATCAAGATGTTAGTATTGTCATTAGGGAATTAGGTTCTACTTTCCTAGAACCTAATTTTGCTTCACTGGCACAAATCCTGCCTTTGCTTGTTCACGGCATTTTTGCAGCACTGCAGCTGTGACAGTACTTGGAATCAGGAGGGAATTCACACTGAGATTGTAGGGCAGAATTTTCAAGAGTCCTAAGTGGCTGATGCCAGGCCTAAGCTACAAACTTTTGCATTGCTCAGGAGAATAATAAGGTGTGATTTGTGCTAGAGACAGCTGTGCTGTTTAAAAGGTGCTAAAAGATGCATTTATACAAGTGAATGTGCACTTTTACTGGTATAGAGCGTTTTCCTTTAGGAGTCTGAAATAAAACTTACTGTCAACAGGATAATTTTGCTGGAATAAATTATGTTTCCCATAATAAGCGCCATGCTAGTGTATCATACTAGCATAGTTACACCAGCAAAAGCCTTTCAAGTGTAAACCTAGCTTGTTCTTAGGCACAGTGCAAGCTTTTGAAAGACACTATAATGAACAGTGGGCAAATATGCATGGTAAGGTTAATGGGCAAGAGTGAGCACTGGGGTCAGTAGGAGAGGATGCGGTGAAACGGGGCAACCTGACACTTGGAAAAAAATGAGAATGTGTCTTGCTTATTATGTATTTAACCCACTGTTTCCATCAGTGGCATACAAGAGGAAAGATAGCTTGAAGTCTTCTGTATCTGGAGAGATCTTTGGAACTACCTCCAGATACTAATACAGAATCCTACTCATTCTCATTGTCAGGTGCAGTTAAGGTTTGGATTTGTGGTTTTTTTTTTTCTTTAATGGTTTTGAACTCTGTAACAAAAAAAAAACCCAAACAAAATATTGGTAAGAAAAAGCTATTGATTCTCAGAGTTCTTGAACAGGTTCATCTATGAGTTAACAAGCCCAGAAACCCTAATCTTAGCAGAGGTGGGGGTGGAAATCCCTTTCCAAGACTGAGTCTGTCTGATGAGAGCTGAAATGCAGTGCACGTGTTTTGTGGATTGAGATACAGATCCAGAGTAGGGGCGTTATCCTGTTGACCTCCGTTGTTCTTTCAATGTCAGCAGAACTGTGGCAGTTTCCAGTATGACAGGGTGTCCTCCGTATGTTTGCTAATATAATGAGAAACATCAGAAAAATGGAAGTAAGTTGTGTTTTAAGAATGGTTTCTGCTCCATACTAGAGCTAACCCCATGTCAGCTGTTACAGAAAATATACTTGCTAATTAAAAGAATAACTTGAGTTTTGATGTTCATGAATTCTTTCTTCAAAGTACCATTTATTTGCTGTGGATCTTAGTCTCTATTGCCAGATTATTTTTTTTCTCATTTGTAATAGAAGGGTAGTTGCCCTCAAAGAGAAACTGAAAAATTAATTTGTAAGTATTTATAGAACAACTTGAGATCCTCTTTTGGAAAGCAGTGTGGCTATGTAGGCTTTTATTAACCTAATCTATAAATTCAAGTGTTCTGAAGTTACTGTAGAGAATTGGTTAACTAAGCAAAACCCTTACGCTGCTGGAAATTTGGTGGTTAAGGAATTTGGTTATAAACTAGGTTTCCTTGTCTGCAGGATAGGCACCAGCTATGCACAGGCTGAAGATATTTTTAGAGGTGCTGTTGGTGGCCACTTGTATTTTGTTCCTCCGCATCTGCTCTGTATTGTATAGATATTTTTGTACACAATTCCAGTGAATGCATTAGTCATGTTGACAGCAAAGTGTGGATACAGTAACATGGGCCACTCCTATTAGTAAAACATTTGTTTTGAAAGAATACCCTTCAGTAAAAAATCGCTGTGATACCTTTAGGGTTGGGGTTTTTCTATTGTTTTTGCTTTCCTCCTCCAAATTTGTTTCTTATTTGGTGCTCTATTTTGATCTGAGTTTTTCTTCATAGGGTGTTGTTAGATGGCTATAGTACAACATTTTGTTTGTTGTCTTTGGGAAGTGATAATAAAGCAGTTTAATAGATTTTCAGTAGGCTGGCACAAGCATTGGTGTTCAGTAAGCATTTCTGAAAATATGATTTCCATTAAAAAAGGATACCAGAATGAGAGTGGCTAGCAATGTATGACTGAACATCATGACGAGCTGAGTTTTCTTAATCACTAATTGTTCTGCTGTGAGAAGGCATCCTTTGGAACGCGCTTGCATGGTGGTGGTTTTGGTTGGGTTTTAACAGATTAGTTTTCCATTTTAAAGATACCATCATATATCCTTTGCCTTTATCTTTGTTAGCTTAAAATACCTGATATGACCCATTAATCTTCTTCTTTCATTGTATTTATGCATTTGGCTAAATTGATATGAATAGTTTAATCACTTTGTCTAGTGGTTTGCTGCGGTTGCTGAAGTAGCAACAACTGATGGAGTCTAAGGAACGGGTGCACTATCTAGTAGTACTTAAATTTTTTGAACTCTCCAGATTTCAGATAAATGCTCTTTTGGAAGGCATAATTTCTTATTGCTAAATATTAGAAATACTTCTAATGCTGAGACAGGTTTTCTGGGAAAATCCATATATTGTCTGTCTTGTACAGAAGTCTTAGTGCATTTGAGAAGTGGTTTGAGAAGCTTCACGTTGAAGTACTGGTCCTGATGGTGATAATTTGTTGTATATGTAAATAATCGGGTATCTCTTCTCTGTTTTATTTGTTTGAACAAGAACTGTGCCTGAAATCTGCTAATGTTAAAGAATAAATATCTGTGTTTTGGTTTTAGAGGAAGTTCCACTGTGCGAGTTTGACATCTTGGCCTCCCTGGCTCTACTCTCTATATGATGCTGTAAGTTCACCCTGCGTATTACCAAATAATCTACAGCTAGTTTTGTATGTTTTAATAACTAATTATTGGATAATGTAAAAGCTTTAATTTTTTGGCTCATAAGTTATGTTTTAACAAAGTGTGATTTTTTCAGTTTACTGTGAAAAGAGCAGGAAGGGCTTCCCCCTCTGTACAGTGGTTCCCTAGTGCTAGAGGACGTGTCTGGGGTGGATCACAGAGGTTCAGGTTCCTGCTGTGTTGTCTCAGAGCAAAAACTTGATCCTCTGTCCCATGTGTTCCAGGTGAATGTCCTACCCACCAGCATGCTGGATCGTCTTAGGTCTGTCTTTCCTCTTGGAGTTGGTTTACTCCTTGAAATATACATATTTCTTTATACCTATTACTGTATTATTTATTACTATATTATTATTTTATTATTTCTTTATACATCTTTCTTTATTCATGCATATATTAACTTTGTACATGAAGTGATTACTGTAAGAGAGGCAGAAGTAGGGAGGAGGCTAGCCCTTATCTCATTTGTACACTTCTAGAATTTTAACAGTTGCCTCCTTATCTCAAATGAGAGTTACAACCACCATGGGCCATTGGTTCATTTTGGCCTGTTTCCCATCCTATTTTGCTCTCATTTTATAATATGTGGATACAAAATGAGCCTGTAATTATTGTAAGGCTTAAAAGCTAATGTCCACTTAGGGAAAATAGCTTACTCTACGTTTTGCTTCCTTTTTTTTTTTTTCCTAAGAAAACAGAAATACCTATATATTTAAATTAGGCTTTTCTTCTAACAAAAGGAAACCTTGATGGAAAGAGTCAAGAGGCAGCTACATGAATGGGATGAAAATCTTAAAGATGAATCTCTTCCAGCAAACCCAATAGGTATGATGTTTAGCCTACAAACTCAAAATTATTTTTGTAAAGTTTCCTAAGAAAACAAAACTTAGATAATTACCTTTTATTGGCAGTCCATCCCTCACTTCCAGTTTCCAATAAATTTTTATGAAATTTTGACTTTGACAAAAGGATGATAGAGCTTTTAAAGACATAAGCATCCTCCAACCATGCGGAAACATGTTCAGTAAAAGAAACAGAACTCTGTGGTGCTCTATGGCAGGAGGAACGTGGTCTAAGTGTTTTGTAAGAAAACGAGAGCCAAAAGCATAATAGATTTTTTTTTTTTAAATTATCTTTATGTAAGTCTAAGTGTTAGTATATATAATCTCATTGTTCTTACTTCTTATTACCTCTTACCAGACATGAGGGAAAATAGCACCAGTAACCTTAGCCAGCGTGGGGGTTATGCCCCAGTGAACAAGTCTCTTTTTTTCTGCAGGTCTCTAGGATCTAATAAGATGGAAATTTTGGTTGAAACCTTTCTAGGGGGAACAACATCCTTTCCTGTGTAGACTCTCAAATGCCTAATAAAGGGGAAATTCAAACTGCAACCTTCAATTAAAATCAGTTAAGCACCAAATACAGATCTGGGCTCAATAGTTTTGATGTACATGGAACTCTCGTTTCTGATTTGAAGTACTTCCCATCTTTGCCCAGAGTGCTGCTTAGAGGACTGTATATGGAAAGCATATGAAATAACCTGAACAGAAACAAAAAATTCCAGTATTTTTTTGGCACTTCTTTTCTCATGATTCACGGCACACTGATATTTTGCTGACTTAAATTTTCAGCTTTTGAATTCTTTTACGGGCTGTGAGGAATGGGGTGATTTCCAGCTTAGCTAGACTTTTGTTAGCTAAATTAAAGAATGACTGTAGTAAAGTCTACTACCTTTTGTGTGTGTGCCTTTTAATACCTGATTGAAATTGCTGCCTGAGAACTTACTATCACAGTAAACTTAAAAAAAAAAAAAAAAAAAAAAAAAGTAAGTTTGTCTTCTTGACTGAGTATCTTTGGATTTAATTTTGGTCCGCATTCAAATGTGGAAAAAAACCCTCCAAAACTTCCAGGAGGGATTGTATACAGAGTAAGTCCTTTTCCTTCTCACAATATAACAGTAAAGAATACTTTGTTAGTACTAAAGTGAGGAATTTATGAAGGAGCTGTATGTTTGGGGGTTTTTATTTAGTTTTTCATTCTCGTAAAAGCTTGTCTATCTTTTCACAAAAAACCTTACTAGCATTGTTCAGTCTCCATCGCTGGGGATCTTTAAGTGTGGATTAGACAAATACCTTAGAAGAGGTTTTATGTGTACCTGATGCAGCCTTTAGGGCAGAAGGATGTACTGAGATGACCTCTAAAAGTCTATTATAAACCTGCGTTTTAGCACTCTGTCTGTAACTGAGGAGAAGTAGTAGATTTTTATTTCTCTGTAAAATTCTAACAGGCCTGGTGCTTTCTCATTTCTAGATTTTTCTTACAGAGTTGCTGCTTGCCTGCCAATTGATGATGCATTACGTATACAGTTGCTTAAAATAGGTAGTGCTGTTCAGCGACTCCGGTGTGAATTAGATATTATGAACAAAGTGAGTATTTTTTCTTTACTTGTCATTAAATTGTTCTCACAAAAAAATAAGAGTGACTGCTACAGTCTATAACAAAAACGTACGAAATTTCCAAATAATGCTTCTAGAGAGTGAATTTGAGTGTTCTTTTCTTTCTTTTTTCGCCTTTAAAAGTTTGCTCAAGAAGGAAAATGTGCGCTCTCAGTACTAGACTTTATGTTTGGCAGTGAGCAGGAAACGTATAATAATACTTGCTTTTGTTAGAAATCTTATTTCAACACGTCACAGCACTTTTTTTAGCCAAGAGATGGTGCTAGAAGTCTAATGTTGCTCATAACCATCTTAGGAACATCATAACCCCGTATTAACAGTATAATACACAGCAATCAAGTAGCTTTGTGCCATGAAACCTTGTGGATTTTGTAACAAAAGATGAATCTTTGTATTGTATTTGAGCTATTGAGTATAAATCAAAGTATTGGACTGAAAGGATTTTTGCAAAAGACATGTGTTGACTTGTTAGCCAATACCTTTTTAAGAAGTTCAAAAACTTGTCTTCCCTTCCCTTCTTTCCATTGCCAAGGCCGTGTAATGCTCTGAATGTAGGACATTAAAGAAATGTACTATGTAAAAATAAAACTTTGTAATATATACTTTCTTAATAACAATATCTACTATAAGTAATATTATATATTATAACTGATAATGCAACTAAGCCTCAGTCAACCTCATGTTGGATCCAGCTGTTTTAGGAACAGCATTTGCAACATCTCCAACAGGAGTTCCAATTGCTATTCTCTTTCCAAGGAGAAAACGCTGAAAAGAGCCATTGGTATAAATACACGTTTTAACTGTAAACTTGTTTATGTGTTTGATAGTGGTAGCTGGAACATTCACTATTCAATTCTTGAATGGATAGACAGATTAATATTTTGTTAATACATTTGTATCGCAAAGAATGGCTGTGTCCATCCTGATGGACCCTCACCTTGCTGGTTGTAAGCTTGCTGGGGATACCCAAGTACTGTCTCAAACATTAGTATAAGATTCTTACACTGGTAGGGGTTGCCCAGAGAGGTGGTGGAGGCCCCATCCCTGGAAGCATTCAAGACCAGGTTGGACGGGGCTCTGAGCAACCTTATCTAGTTAGTGGTGTCCCTGCTCACTGCAGGGGGGTTGGACTAGATGACCTCTGGGGGTCCCTTCCAACCCACAACATTCTATGATTTTATGATAACCCCAGTCACTGTTGTGTTTGTCTACTGGATATAAAGCAGTGGAAATTTTGCCTGTTTGCCTAAAAAGTACTGCCTGTTTCTGGGCAAAAGAGAACCAGAGTATCATTTTAATACTGTTCAGTATCATTTTAATACTGTTCCTCTTCCCAAAGTTCACGCACCAAAAATCTAAAAGGGAATGCACAGAGGAAAGGAGACAGAAAACATCTCTTCCAAATTCTGAGACAAAAATGGGCAGGTTTTTGCATGACGTTCTGTAATCAGATTTAACTCCATTTGTCTGTCCTGATTCAGAAAATATTCTGATACTCAGGTACTGCTAAGAACTGTTCGCGTTCAGTACATTTTATATTTTCTATAAATGCCAAAGAGACAAGAGGACTTAAGTTACCTTCATAAAATATAAAGTTGATTTTTAGCCTACACCAAAAAGGTGTTTTCTTCACCAACACGTGATGTTTTATTCTGTAAGCGTGTTTGACTGTTCTATATTAGTGTGAGAATGGTAAGTGCATTATGGGTTGTTACAATTTTTTTAGCAACATATATTTTGGTCAAATCAACTGTCTTTAAGCCAGGGTTTTTAATGAGAAGGGGTGCTGTGCAACATAGCGTATATTTTGGTTTAATTGGGAAGGATGGACTTAACATGTTTTATTGTTCCCAATGTAATTTCCAGTAATGTAAGTGATTGTAAGACCTGATCCATTTTCTTTTGTCTTTGGTATCAGTGAATTGTATTGTACTTTTAATAGCTTTTTCTGTTATCAAAGATAGTTAACTGTTTCTGTGCTTATTTTGAAAGGAAGGTACATCACTCGCAGGTCTAACACTTCTGTGAATTCCACTTGAGCATGCTAATTGTAGTAATTTGATAGGTTTGGAAATGGAGGGGTGGAATTAAGTAGCTGTCTAAATTGGATTTGGAGAGGGATATATGAGCATTAGGTTACAACCTGTGAGTAAGGGTGATTTAAGAGTGAGACATTGTAGGTGTTGAAGGTCCCTGGTAGGAGAGACAGGCCAAGCGGGCTTTAAGAAGGGAAGTGAAGAGAACTGGTGTACAATGAATAGTATCTGTAGAGTAGAGCAATTTTCTTCCCTGTCCCCAAGCTCAGCAGACAGTGTGTTGAAAGTGTGGGGCAGAGCCAGTGCCACCTGCAGGAAAAGGAGCTGGAGGAAGGTGAAATGCGGCAGCAAGCCCAGAGCATCTGAGGAGAGGAAAGGAGAGAGTAAAGACTGACCTAAGCCTGTGTAGTATCACACGAGTGGAGGGCAGGAGTGGGAGCTCGGGGAGACTTGGAAGCACAAGCTATGATTTACTCTCCCACAAGGACTTGTCCAAGTGAAGATCCTAGGCACAGCATTTTGTTCCAAAACGTAGTGAGTCATTCTTTTGGGTAATCTCACATGCATTACCCTTAAAGAGGTAGAAGTAACATAGGTCCTGAAAATTAGTAGTAGTGTTTGTTCTACTAAGCTGATGTAAATATTTGTTTTTCTGGGCAATGTCAGTGATGAATTGTTTCCTTCTACTTTCTAGAAATTGTAGAAGATAATATGTTATAATCTTTAAGAGAAGGATCAATACATCTTACATACCTTTCTTGAGGAAATTAAAACCAGTGATCTACAGTATTCTCAAATATTAGTAAAACTTAATGGTTGCATTTGTACTCATGTACCTTTTCTGTGTTATATCTTAGAAGAACAAAGGGGTTTTTCTAAATTAGCTAATTTTCTGAAGACCTTAGAAGGTTGACTCGTTTATTACCTTTATGTAGTCGGATTTTCTTCTCTCTGTGCGTTTTATTTTTTTCAGAAAAAAAAGCATATAGAAATATTTTGTCTTTTAGATAACCATTAATGTTTACAATAAATAATAGAAATTTTTTTTTATCCTTTGCTAGAAAGAGAAAACATAAGTGAGTACTGCCCAGATAAACAAAAGAATTGGTACAAAGTCTATTCTGAGGGGAGAGACACTTTTATTATTTGCCACTGTGCTGACAAGCATCTGGAAATGAACAAAATTACCCTCTTTGTTTTTCTTTTCAAGTGTACATCTCTCTGTTGTAAGCAATGCCAAGATACAGAAATAACTACCAAGAATGAAATATTCAGGTGAGTTTATTGCTCTTAATCTTTGGGAGGTTCTTGATCAGAAACATTGGCACAGCAAAACAGATTAAGCTAGGTTATGTCTTATAACTATTGTGTTTTCCACAACTCTAATAAAATTTCAGTATTTATAGGGAATTCTCTTTATAAAGTAAAACAGGTTATTTGAGCTTTTTTAATAAAAAGTTAGTGAATCTGAACAGCACCATGTATATTGTAACGGAAGTTAGCGTGAAAGGCCGCGTTATGTCACCTCGTCCAGCACCTTGCCGCTGAAGAGTTACGCACTCTGCGGTGGGTTTTGAAATACAGATTTGTTATATGTAAAATTTGGGATCTCATGAACTTTATTCAGAAACAAAAGAACAAAAAATTCTCTTAGCGCTTCATCCTGACTTCTATATGTTAATAAGCTTCAATGGCAGATTAAAATTGAGTGGTATAGGTAGGCTCCCTGGATGTTGCCATGTGAGGAAATCGCCTACTTACTGATGTCATTAAGCATTCTGACACCTTTTTTTATTTTAAGAATCTAGGGTTTAATCCTAATAACTTCACTAGACAGTATATTCCCATTATATATTTGGCCTGTACAGTATCTCCCATATTTATCAACGATAAGACTATACATTTTCCAAATAATTGCGGCTTCTGGCAGTCTTGTCACTATTTTAATCTTGAATAACTAATACCTGTCCATCACACGATAATGTGAAGGTTAAAATGTGTCTTGGTTTAACAAAGCAAGACTCCCCACAGTTTTCCTTTATCAGTGTGGTGAGAAGCTGACATGGTAATTAAAAGCCATTTCTTCTCTAATCAAATGC